ATGAGGGGTTGGGAGAGGGTAGGGTGGGATGGGGTGCGCGGGATGAGGGGAGGGTTGGATGGGGTGTGCGGGATGAGGAGTCGGGGGAGGGGAGGGTTGGATGGGGTGCGCGGGATGAGGGTAGGGCTGGATGGGGTGTGCGGGATGAGGGGTCGGGAGAGGGCAGGGCTGGATGGAGTGTGCGGGATGAGCGGTCGGGAGAGGGTAGGTTCGGATGGGGTGTGCGGGATGAGGGGTCGGGAGAGGGCAGGGCTGGATGGAGTGTGCGGGATGAGCGGTCGGGAGAGGGCAGGGCTGGATGGAGTGTGCGGGATGAGCGGTCGGGAGAGGGCAGGGCTGGATGGAGTGTGCGGGATGAGCGGTCGGGAGAGGGCAGGGCTGGATGGAGTGTGCGGGATGAGCGGTCGGGAGAGGGCAGGGCTGGATGGAGTGTGCGGGATGAGCGGTCGGGAGAGGGTAGGTTCGGATGGGGTGTGCGGGATGAGGGGTCGGGAGAGGGCAGGGCTGGATGGAGTGTGCGGGATGAGCGGTCGGGAGAGGGCAGGGCTGGATGGAGTGTGCGGGATGAGCGGTCGGGAGAGGGCAGGGCTGGATGGAGTGTGCGGGATGAGCGGTCGGGAGAGGGCAGGGCTGGATGGAGTGTGCGGGATGAGCGGTCGGGAGAGGGCAGGGCTGGATGGAGTGTGCGGGATGAGCGGTCGGGAGAGGGTAGGTTCGGATGGGGTGTGCGGGATGAGGGGTCGGGAGAGGGCAGGGCTGGATGGAGTGTGCGGGATGAGCGGTCGGGAGAGGGCAGGGCTGGATGGAGTGTGCGGGATGAGCGGTCGGGAGAGGGCAGGGCTGGATGGAGTGTGCGGGATGAGCGGTCGGGAGAGGGCAGGGCTGGATGGAGTGTGCGGGATGAGCGGTCGGGAGAGGGCAGGGCTGGATGGAGTGTGCGGGATGAGCGGTCGGGAGAGGGTAGGTTCGGATGGGGTGTGCGGGATGAGGGGTCGGGAGAGGGCAGGGCTGGATGGAGTGTGCGGGATGAGCGGTCGGGAGAGGGCAGGGCTGGATGGAGTGTGCGGGATGAGCGGTCGGGAGAGGGCAGGGCTGGATGGAGTGTGCGGGATGAGCGGTCGGGAGAGGGCAGGGCTGGATGGGGTGCGCGGGATGAGGGTAGGGCTGGATGGGGTGTGCGGGATGAGCGGTCAGGAGAGGGTAGGGCTGGATGGGTGTGCAGGCCGAGGGGTTGGGAGAGGGTAGGTTCGGATGGGGTGTGTGGGAGAGGGTAGGTCTGGATGGGGTAGGGCAGGATGGCGGCGCATGGGGAGCAGAGTTGTGTGCTGCACGTTGGGGTTTTGGAGCAGGGTTGGGGTGCTGGTGGTGCAGGGAGTGCAGAGTTGAGGGGTTGTAG